GGAGAGAAACATGATTTGGCCTTTTAAACCCACGAACAGACACAGACACACACACACACACACACACACACACGTCCACGTCCTCACAGGTGAACTGTGTTGTGTACTTTGGTGCAGTTCAGCAAACAGTTACTGGAAGAGACGGACTAAGAATAGAGGAATGAAGTTGACACACACATGCAGGATTTCACACCGGACTGACGGCTCGGCAGGCTTCTGTCTGAACCTTGTGGCTCGAGTTTTCTTCACAATACTGACACACACACACACACACNACACACACACACACACACACACACACACACACACACACACACACACACACACACACACACACACACACACACACACACACACACACGGACATAAAACTATGCCAACACATAGAGCATATAAACAGAGCACCCTGTCTGTATGTTTGCTGCAGTGCATTATGGGAGTGGGTGTGGTAATTGAGGCCTGGAGCAGTAAATATGACTCTGTGGGAGGAGACAGACAATGTGTGTGTGTGTGTGTGTGTGTGTGTGTGTGTGTGTGTGTGTTTACAGGGAAGAAGTTTTGTCGTTCATGAACGTCCCTTCAGGGAGACTAGGAAAAGAAATGTATACTTATTTAAATTAGAAACGCAGCACTGAAATGTAGCAAACAATCACTCAGAACACACAAGATGAAAATCACAATCCACCACACAAAGACAAACACACACACGTGCACACTCACACAAACACACAGGCGGTCGAATGCAGAACAGCAGCAGAAGCAGAGGGAACCAATTAGTGGCCTGGCTTTGATGATGTCACTGACAAATCACGCACTAATGGCATAGCTTCCGTTCAAAGGGAAACATAACACCACACACTGCACAGCGCACACAGACACACACTCACCAACACAGACACACACTTGAAGTGGATATGCATGTGACAGAGGAGGAGGGTTGAAGCTGATGAATACATTAGAGGGTAATACAGACGTCAGATAAGGAATCATTTTAGAGCTTGTGTGTTCGACAGAGACAGAGAGAGAGATTTCACTGCCGTCAAAGTTTTGAAGAATTTTAATGAACATTAATAAAGAATGAAGAAATTGCCGCCATGTTTAAACACAACATCATAACCTGCTAGACTGCAAACAGGAACAACTTAATCCTATGACACTGAACACTCAGGGTCTAGTGTTGTACAGGTGGTTGAATAGATGAACCATAGTTTTTACTAACTTCTTGTTAGTGTTTGATCCGACCTGTAGAGTAAAGTTTGTTCTAGGTGTGGAGCTGCACTGTACAGTAACATATTTACCCAGTTCCCAGCTGTGTCCATATTTGCCAATTCTTTAACTCTAATTTATTTCATCCACCAGGACAATGACGGTATCTAATCATATGCTGTGGAGAGCAAATAGAATAGAAATGAAGTAGAAACTAAAAGCTGGGAAATGACAAATCAATTTGAAGGCAACAAACCGAAAATATGGTTTAAAAGACTTCATGATTATCAAGCCCTTAAAGTGATCAAACTCAGAGTGATTATATTAACAGTGGATTAAATTATTTAAATGACAGAACATGATTACTGGACTTAAGTTAGTTGTTTTGAATTAGTTTGATTCTGTGAGCTGAGGCTGCATTGATCTTGGGCCCAATGTTAGCAACTAGCTGCCAGAGGGAGGTTGAGATTTAGACTCTTCAGGTGCCAGAAACATCAGTCACTTATATTTATGTGCATTTAAATGTGTGAAGAATGAACTTCGCCAAGAAAACTTTGTTTGGCCTAACAACTTTTTGAAATGACAAAATGTAAATCACCAAAATGTATAATTTCAGGTTTAACCAATATAATCAATCAACAATGCTAAGGTCTCTGTGCGTGAGGGTTTTTACCGGATGATGGATTAAAAAAATTCACATCATGTTTTGTTCTTGCAGATTATTGAAGCTGTTTAATGGTCAAGATAAAAACTCTAAAAGAAAAATTGACAAGCACATGATAAACGTTGTAGATACCGACCATTGAGAATGAATGAATCTCTGCACGTGTGTGTTTCTGTTCTCGGTTCTGCTTTTTGAACTCCCCCCCCGCAGTCTCCCCTCCTCCATCATATAGTTGAAAGACCGTCATCTGCTTCACATTCACTCCTCCTCCACATGACCACTAATGTCTCTTTGTCTCTTTCTGCCTCTTTTCACTCGTTTCTCTCTGTGTTCGCTCTTGTTTACTGTTTATATGTTTGTGTGTAGACTTGCATGTGTCAGTCTGGCGCCGTCGTCTCATCGGCATGCAGGGGCGGTGCTGCACACACACACTTACACACACACCATCATGCACACACAGAGACACACACATATGCATAGAGACTACCTTCCAAACCTGATTCCTGTGGGTTACCAGTATTGTTATTATTATTAATCTCACTGTCCAAAGTCACATCCTCAGATTTGAGTTTTCCAGCAGCAGACGATTTGAACGGAGACAGTTTCCAAACCACATCTCGACGTGTTTTCCTGGTTAAAAAAAACGTTTGTGCCCAGAACAGTCGGCTCGGTTAAGTTCCCTTCACTTTGACACTTAAGTGAAAATGTAATGGGAGCATAATGAAAATCAGCAGTAGCTGCTGCTGACATGTTAATCAGTTGAACATGTTTCACCAGAAGCGCTCCACGCTCAAGTTCACTTCACTTTATTTGGACCTATTTAAAAAAGCTGTGGTGCATTAGGCGCAGCATCAGTGGTTAACGTCTGAAGAGAGTGAGAGTGACCAGTATCAGTTCTTCCTTCAGGACACAGGGAGAGTGGCCACGAAGAGTGAACAAACTTTTATAAGTCCTACAGGAAAACGCATATGAGTGATGACAAAAGTGACTCACTAAAGAAAATGTTTTATTAATATAATAAACTAACTGCATGAAATTATTTATGATTTACCGTGGTAGCGGGGCAGTGCACGTGCATGCGCATGAATGTCAGAGTGAAATGGTAAACTAACTTAAACGTGAGAGAGATAAATGAACGGGTATATGCACAACTGCACTTTGAAACCCTGAGGTGTGACCGTCTGCGTGGATGGGTAAAAGTTTATGGACGATAGTGCGAGCATGCGGCACATAGCTCTGCACACAGCTATTAGATGCAGAAACTTGTTCAAACACCAGGGTGCTCTTATGTTGTTATGAAATGTTTTTGGTTTATTATTAAACTGTGGCGGGACAAAGTAGAAAATGGCGTGCCGCCACAATTTTGTAATGAAGGGTATCACCAGTTTGATTTGGCGAAAACTAAATGGACACTTGTCTAATAAGTGTCTGAACCTGTCAGTGGCAAATAAAAGACATCATTGGTGCAATTTTAACATAAATGACCTTTTTGCCCATCGAGTAAAGACAGTAGTTCTAGTTCACAGAACAAAGAGCTGCTGGTCTCACAAGCTCAATCGGTCGGTTTGATTGTGTTATTGTGTTAACGTGAGGTTCTTTGACCCAAATAAAGGGTCATCGCAGACACACACAACAACACAACCTCAGTCTGTTGGATCTAAGGCCGTCGATGCAACAATTCACGTCCAGTACAGGGTTAATGCTTGCTAGCAAGTTAGCAGCTAGCACTAAAATTAACCTTCACCACAGCTGGCTCCCATTAGCACTGTGCTTCTACTCTACCCCCCTCCTCCACACACACACACACAC